TTGATCCCGGGTCGATTGCCTTTGAGTGCAATATGCTGATGGCCATCTGAGACTCCAGGGCACAGGCGGAGCAAGGCTTGGCGCAAAGGTGGATGATGCGGGAAGGCCAGTCCAGTCCTGTGGCGGTAGAAATGGTCCGGCATATCCGGGGGCCCTAGCCCAAAGGCGCACATGTCGATCTCAATGAAGTCGACGTCCGGTCGTTGCAGGAGGCGGCGCCATTGGGGTAGATGCCATTGCTTCGGGTATCGCCCTGAAGTGCCCGAGCTCTCGGCCACGTGGAAGCCGCCCTGAAGGAGCGAAGTCTCAAACACTTTCGCTCCATACTCCGACAAAACATTGCCGACTTGTTCCTTGGCGGTTGGTTTCCCCGCCGGGTTCTGGAAGGTGCGAGTGCCTCCATTCTGCAAGCACCAATCGCAAAACGTAGTGCACGGGCTGGCTATCCACTGCGCGTTGGACTCACGATCTCGGAGGCGGTCGAGGTAGTACTCTTGCCGTAAAGGATCGGACAAGTCATGCTCCGGGCGAGGGCCGAGCTGTTGATGTGGTTGCTCGTAGAGCTCGATGGGTTTCAGAGCCGTCTGGTTTGCAGCTCTCCAACCCTTGGTGATGACTCCATGGCCAGCAAAGTACTCCTGCAACACCAGGCCCTTGTGACCTCCGGCTTCATGTACGGCGCGAATGACTTGGCCCCCCCCCGCAAAGACCTGTGAGAGGGCGGGGAGACACGTAGTCTTCCTCAAGCACCCTGTAGTCTCGGTGTCCTCGGCACTCCCTCCCTTTCTGCTCCGACAATGTCGACAAGAGATCACCCCTGGAGCAGTCTTGGCTTGATCGTGCCGCTGGTGCCAGAAATACCGAAACCCAAGACAGGGGGTATTGTACACCTCTTCCTTCTCCAAAAGCGCTCTTCCCTCGTCTGGCGAAGGGGGCTGGAGCAAAGTCATATGTCCCTTCGAAATCATCACCCAAACATCCGAGATAGACCACTGGCTTCCCGTCACCGTCTCAATCAGTAGGTCGCCTTTGTAGTCCACCCGCACCACAACCACGCGTATCTCTTCCATCGCCGCTAAAGGGAACACGGCCAACGCTCGATAGTCCTTGTCGTGGTGGGGCTTCAGGATGTCGTGGGCATACATCCTCAACTCGTGCTCGACTGGGGCGACCTTAGTCTCTGGATGCCCCATCACGCCCTCGGCCTCCACTGCCAGCCTCGCCTGCTCCAGCCGAAATTCCTGCGTTGCCCTTTCGACCTCATTCATCGCGGGGACCTTCCCATGCTGTGCCAGGTGAAGTCCGGCAGCCAACACCTTCGTGACACACTGCCTCTTCTCCTTTCCAGGCTCGATTACTCCCAGCAGACCCGCCAGCTCCTCGGTCATATGGACCATCTCTCCGAAGTCCCACAGGGCCCACGGGACGCCATCGATGTGAGCCAAGGACCTGCCTGGGCCCTCGCCTTCCCATCGTGTGTCTTCCAGCTGGCAACGAGCTTGGTGGCCTGCTTTCAGACCCTGCCCATAAGCCTCCAGCAAAGCTGCCGCCTCTGCGGCCAGTTCCCCAAGGCCGTACTGGACCATCTCTTCCATGAGCGTGTCGAAGGCGATCTCCGGGTCGTTGGCCACCCTTGTCGACGCCCAGGCATATAGGTCATCTGACGCCCCTTGGAGCTTGCCCAGGACTGGGCCCGATGCCAAAGCTTGAGCCTTCCTCACCATATCCTGCGCCTCCGAGGGGGCAGTGGAGCCCTTTCGCCCTGCATGTGGTTTGGCTTCCCTTGGCACGTGCTCGAACAGTGATGCATCAGGGCCCGCCACCAAGTCTGCAAAGTCCTTTTCTTGGTGGGTGTAGTCCACCTGCACCATCTCCTCCGGAGCTTCCCAGTGGACCTGGCCGCCTGCCTTCTCCGGACCTTCGGCCTCCCCTTCTTTGGCTGGATCTCCCTGTCCTGCCCGTCGACGATCTTTGCCATCCTGCACTTTGGCGGCCTTGTCCTTGGCCACCCCGGCTCGAATCTCCTTGATCTTCTCCACGGCCGACTCCTTCGTCTCCGCCTTCATCCTCCTCAGGCCTCCCCTCCGAAGCATCTGGAGTTGAACCGCTGGATCAAGAGCCTCAAACGGTCCGCGAAGTGGTTCATGAGCTCGTTGACAGCCCTGTTGAGAGCAGCCCAGGTGGGTCAGGTATCCCCAACACAGCAGCTTGCCCTCCTTGTTCGTCGGTGCTCGATCCTTGGCCCGGGTCGTCTCCTCAGCCGTCAGCTTCGGCCCAAACAGGGTTTTCAAGGTCGGCTTCTCCTCCCGAGATCCTCCGTCTCCACCGGCTGGTTGTCCTTGGGCTCTACTCTTACCTGAACCCTCCCACGTCATCTTCCAGAGCATCCTCTCCTGGCGCCTCTCAATTCGGGGCATCACCTCTGACATGAACCAACCGTCAGGGCGTCTTAGATCGAACGTTTGAGGAAGATTCAAAGGAGGTCGCCCTTCTTCGTCTGGCATGAGGGCATAGAACTTCAGATCCTGCAAGGTCATGGACTCCCTGCCCGACAACCGCTTGATCTTCCTCAGCTCCTCCTTCAACTCCTCGAGGAATCGCCAGTGGAGTTCTTCCCACACGTCGAGCAGGACCTGCAGCGGCCACTTGTGTGGCGCACTGACGTGCCACTCTCCCAACAGGTTGATGGCGTGCTCCCGCACAGCCTTCCACTCCATGCCGTACACGAGGGCCCAGATGTCATTCTGTCGCTTCACTCTGTTGAGCCAGTCCTCATAACGAGTGGGTGCGGTTGGCCTCTGCTCATTTGTCGGCTTCCCTGTCCTACTCTCGATGGCGAACTGGTCCAGCTCCGCGTCGGTGCAGGGCACGAAGTCCGAAGCACTTAGGGCATACTCCTCCTGCGTCCCCCAGTATGGGCCGGCAATCCCGATGGCGAGCCGAGAAGTAACCTTCTGTCTGAAGCCTGCACTCCGAAGCTTTGTTGAGGAGCCGGCCTGAGCCGCCAGAAGTGCTTGCGCCAGGGGAGCTCCGTACTCTTCATTGCCGACCTGCACAGTGTACTGGCCGCACCCACGCAGCAAAAATACCAGTTCTTCTGAGGTCTTTCCGAGGCTCTTCAATGATCCTCCTGCCCCTGTTGTGGTTTCCTGCTGGGCTTTGACCAATGTTGCAAGTTCATTCGTCTGCTGTTGGATCGCTTTCGCGATGTCGGTCATCTCCGACTGGCCTCCACGTTCTTCCGGCCCAGTTCCTGCCTTGCGGTCTGGATCATAGATGCCCGGAGGGGGAACCGAGGCCAGTCTCTTCTTCGGAGGGGTTTCAACTGGGCCTGAGCTCACCACAGACTGGGCCCCCGAAGCCATACTCGACGGTGTAGGTGCTGCTCCGTCCCGCTCCTTCTCGACCACGCTCCATTCCGAGAGGGACGAAGGTCGCTCCCGAGCAGCCGCTTGCTGGCGCCATTTCGCCAAGAACTTCGTGAGCCCTTTGGTGCCCTTCCGTTGCTCCTCCATGGCCTGCTCGTACAAGTACCGGGTGAGGTCTCCCACAGTCAAACCAGCTTGAGCCGCCAGTTGCTTTCTTATATCCTCCTCACTGAGCTGTAGCTCTCTCCCATCGGCCATCTGTTCCATGAACTCCTCGAGGTAAGTCATGTCCGCCCTGCGGTCCGGCGAGTTGATCATTCCCATCCTGGCCAAGCTATGCTGCACCGATGACTTGGGAGTATGGCCAGGAGATGCAACCCTCCTTCTCCTGAGAGCTGGAGGCTCCTCCTCCTTCTCTTCACGAACTTCACGGAGGATGTTCTCTGCCTCCTCGGTCTGATAGGCGACCTCCCGGGCTCGCCCCCTGCGCCTCGTGCGTTCATCCCCTTCTCCTTCGGCACGTTCGTCACCCTCTTCTTCTCCCGGAGGTGGGTCCCGAGCCCTCGACCTTGACCGCCAGGAACGTCTGGTCGGAGTAGGAGCAGGTTCCTGGTGAACACCGCATAGTCGCATGCCTTGTTTGGTGACTGCCCCCAACCGTTGGCAACCTGCCCAAGAACACTTAGACGTTGCCCTCAAGGTCAGGTACCGGACCGCATGACCTGAGCAAAGAACGGCCAGCTGGTCAGTTGGAAGTTCCGGTCCTCATCGAGCAGCTCGACATCCGTGGTTGCAAGGTCTTTGCATGGGTGTTCACTGAGGCAAACTCGACCTGCTTCACCCTCCCATTTGACCAAGTGAGCACAGCACGAACCAGTCTCCTCCCGCTCGGACTCTGATGCGTAGTCCTTCAACCGTTTGGCTGTCTTGTTGGCCTTGGGGAAGAGCCATCCCATCGTCTTCATCCCTGTCTTCTGGGCCCCAGCCGCTGTAGACATGAGGTGGAAGCGCTCGGGGTTGAGTTGGCGGGCCAAGGCATAGCTCTTGAAATGCTGGCCCTCTTCCGGGCACGTGTCGTGCCTGCATAGATGCACCCGCTCGTAGCCCTTCAAGGCCAGCAACAGGTTGGGCGTCACCTCTAGTTGCCTCAGGGTCAAAACTCAGGTACATGCCACTCGACTTGATCGCGGCATTCTCGGTGACCTTAATGATGACCACATAACCATCCCGCCTGAGGAGGACCCACCGCTCTTCATTCGTGCCCTTCTTCATCTTGCGGAGGTCGGCCGTCTCCGGGATCTCGCCGGTGTCCGGTCCAATGAAGGTCGCTCCCGTCACCTCCGGGACTCCCCCTGACATCCGCTGGGCGTAGAAAGCAACCCGTCCGCAGCACCTGACCAGGGTCCGGATTACCCACACAGCGGTCAGGATGGTCCCGATCACCAAGGAGCAGAGCGGCCAGGCTAGCGACAGGAAATAGTGGAGCCCCACGCAAACCACCATCAGCAGCGCGATCCTCAGAATCATCGAGCACCCAGTCCGTACGCTGGCCCAGCTCTGGCCGAACACCAGCCAGCCCACGCCTGACAGCAACGTGTCCAGGAGCGTCCAGGCTAGGCTATCCCAGGTCGTCAGGGTGGAGTACTGCGCCTGGGCAGCAGCCACCGTGGCAGGCAGCTGACTGGGTGGTCCCAGCAAGAGGCGTTGGGAGGATCTGTCGCTTCCTCCTCAACCGCCTGCCACCAGCCATCGATGGGGCCTGCGGACCACATGAGGCCCACGGCAAAAAGCCCCCATCGAGCCATGGCGCGAGCCGCCCCAAAAACTCAAAAAGGCCTCTTGGGCCAAAGGCTTCGCGCCGTGAGGCATGCAAAGCGCCAAGTAACGGTTGTGGAAAACCTCCAAGAACGAGCGTGCGACATCGAGTCGTGCCTACAAAGCAGGATTAGTCACGCGCAGCATGATCAACAAGAGGCGCTGAAAAGTGCCACTGAAAAATCGGCCGATGGAATTCGAAGATGGCGGCACTGTTGGCACAAACC